TTAGGTGTTCTATTTTATTCACCTCAGATAGAAAGAATAACAACAGTCCAAAGAAATTATTCCACCCAAGTGAAGTTTACTGAAGCAATGCCCCTTGCTGGGGTTATTTACAGGGCTATGGGTGACTCTGGCACCACAAAAAAACTCACCTGAGCATGGGTTAAGGACTCACAGAAGTTTCCTATACACCTTTGGGACAGCTCCATCACCAAGGAGTCTCCCATCCTCACCAAGCCTCCAGATGTGACTCTTTGATGCTCGTAAATTTTTATGAGCCTTGAAAATTTCCCTGTATCCTCCACAAGGGAATGGTCCAATCTTGAAAAAAACAACTACACTACATATGGACATGTACACACACACACACACACACACACACACACACACACACACACATTACCAGATGACTTTTGCCCCTGCCCTTCACAGTCAGTTGTGAGGATGAAGTGAAACCTCTCATTTTCTCTCCAGTGAGGATGAAGTGAAACCTCTCATTTTCTCTCCAGTCACTACCAATTAACAAGCATAGGTAATGGATCAAATTAGAGTTTAATTTAAATACGGTAGTAATTTAACCAAGAGAATATCAAAAAGTGAAACTATTGCTTAGAGTTTACAAAGAGGTAGCTATTCTTTTTAAACTTTTTATTACATTTGCTTTGTGTGTGCAGTGGTAGTGAAGTGTGGGTGTGTGTATGCTATGGTCCACATGTGGAAATCAGAGGACAAGCTGCAGGAGTCAGCTCTCTCCTTCCACCATGTCAGTCCTGGGATAATCAGCCATTTGGCCAGCCCCAAAGACAAGATGTAATTATAATGGCTGACGGCAATCTGGGCTGGGTGGAGATGTGGAGACTTGAAGAAGACGAGAAACTGCAGCAAATTTCCAGATCACCGAAGAGGGAAATGGAAGGGGAGGGGGACAAGTTTGATTTGGGGGAGATAGTTATTTTCTAAGATTTACAGTAAGAGTAAAGAGTGGGCCAAACATAATATTTTCTGGAATAAAGAGGAGCCAAAGGGATGGAGGGGTTAACAGCAAACACAGTGGTAGCAGGTGATAAAAAAGCGTGTTCAGCTGAGGATATTGAGGAGAGGAACAATGCCAGTAATCGTGGCACTTGGCAGCTTGGGCTACATATTAAAATGCTATTCATTTGTGACTTACATCTACAGTGTCCCCAATAGATTAGGGCTGCTTTAAGACCTAACAGAGATTTGCTGAGGGTCAGCAGGTCAGTCAGCAAATGACTAGAAATAACAGGAAGAGGAAATTATGAGGTGTCTAGCCTCCAGAGCCTGCTAGAGACCGGTACCCTGAAGGGATAGTCTCTCCAGGATTCTCTCTCCCTCACCCTGGGGAATGTCTCTCTGGACACTTGCACAGAAAGGGCTAATTATGGGAGTGGGACACAGATTCCCCAGCACCTCATCCCCCCCTCTAAGTAGCAGGGAAAGTAGGTTCTTGTTTCTTCTCTAGTGAGAGAAGGTGTCAGTATCCTTCATTTTTCTCTCTCCAGTTAGATTTTAAAAGAATATTTTCAGTGCAATCACCAGCTAAGGTTAACTGGCCACCACAACAAGACAAGTATTCGACCTGTTTATGCCCCTTACAGAACTCTCCAGTAAAGCCCCCATTTCTGCCTCTGTGCCGCAATTCCACAAATTTAGGCGTCTTCTCTCTGCTGAAAAGGATGGCACCCACCCCTTGTCTTCATCCTGGGGCACCTGGCTCTGATCTCAGGTACTCATTCCAGCAACCAATACAGTCAAATATTTGGATCTTTTGTTAATCTTTCCCTCTGTCATTTCAAACCCAGGGAATCCAGAACACAAGACACCAGCATAAATTCGGGGTCTAAAAACAGGGCCAGAGTTTAGACATGAAGGTAAGTTTATTACATTGCTCTAATAATAAATGGTTTTGCAACTCAGGGTCACATTCTAGAAAGTCAAGGAAGGTTTAAAGATATATTACCTACAACAGATTTGCCTTTTGAAAAATCATCAGCGGTGTGTGTGTGTGTGTGTGTGTGTGTGTGTGTGTGTGTGTGTAAGAACTGTGTTCTTGGGGATTTGTGCATAACATAAAGATTATATGTGAAATTTTACTAGTGTGTACCTGTTTTCATGAGGTAGCATGTCTGGAGGTTAATATTTTAGAATTTGCCTCGCTGTGCTGGTACATGGTTATGGAATCACAATTACTTTTTGTAATTCAACACCCCCACTACTTCACACGGTTAAGTGTGCCATGCCTTACATTTTATCCATGTTTAGTTCAGCCCCAATATGGCAAAGTTGTCTAGAAATAAAGATGAGTTTTGCCTGTCCTTTTATTTTCCACAGTCTGGCATAAAATAGCCTGTAAAACGGAAGAGCTTGGAGTTAGTCAGGTTTATTTACAAGCCATGTGACTGTGGACATGTTCAATTTTAATCCCCTCCCTACTCTGCTCTGTAAAATAAGACTACTGCCTAATTTCTAATCAAGAAAATATTAAAGTTAATATATGAAAGGAAAATGAAGTTTTACACCAATTCGGTTACCACTCATTTCCTGGAAAAGGAGCAATCCAGAAACACACACCTGTATGTAATCTCAGCACTCAGGAGGCAGAAGCAGAACAATTTAGAGTTAGAGGCCAGATTAGGTTACATGGTGAGACTTTGTCTTGGAAAACAAAACTTGTCAAGGACAGGGAGATAGATATAGATATAGATATGGATATGGATATGGATATGGATATGGATATGGATATGGATATAGATATAGATATAGATATAGATATAGATATAGATATAGATATAGATGGACCTGGGTTCAATTTCCAATACCAAAAAATATATCAAACAATGAAAAATTATATGCTGGGAAAAGACAGGGTGATAGCAATTAACACTCACCTACTGCATGCCAGGCACTGGTCAAAGCACTGTGTGTCTGACTCCTGTTACACACCTTATGTTTTCAGGGGCACAGAGGGGTTAAGCACATCCCACAGCTATCATCTAGGAAGCAGCAGAATCAATCAAGAATCTGAGTCCTGAACCTTGTTCTTATTCACGTGAAAACTTATTCTGCCTGATAAAAATAAGCAAAATGTTTTATTGGGAAAGGGATTAGTTCCTTGAAAAAATATAAAAGGTTGTGATTGATAGATGCATCATCATCAACTGGTGATGGGGAATGCATGCCACATCATACGTGTGGAGGACAGGTGGAAGAAGTCAGTGCTCCTCCACTACCTGGGTCTCAGGGATGAAACTTAGGCCATCAGACAGCAAGTGCCACCTCCTGGTGAGCCATCTTGCCAAACAAGAGAAGTGTGACTTTTTTTTTTATTAAAATCAGTGTGTTTATAAATTTCGTATATGATAATCTGTCAGGAAACATGCATAGAAAGATTTCTATGTAAATCTTATTCATTCCATCAACCACAATAGTTTCCATATGATCAGATAGTGGATTCAGCATTAATAATTAGGACCTTGAAAATGTGGTTCTCTTTAATTCTTGCATTTTTTTAAACTTGTTTGAGATATTGACATGAGGTTATCTTTGTTTCTTGCATTTCTTTTAAATTTGTGTGAGAAATGATTGTCAGGAAAGCCCATGATAGACCCAAGAAATCATCCACTTCAAACTCCTCCACATGACAAAATAAAGGCAGAATGACATGAAGTGAATTTGGTATCCCAAATAACCAACTAGAGGTGACTGTGCTTGCTAGGACTAAAGTCTTCTTGTTTCCACTCTTACGAGGAGTGCCATATTCACAGCTGGAGGTCCTGTGCTTCATAAGTAGTCTCCACAGATTAAATAACAATATAACGGATTTAAAAACAAGGTCATGAGTATAGCTCAGCTCTGAGCATACGCTTAGCATGCACAAGGCCCAGGATTCAATTCTCAGTCCAAAGGGTGAACAACTGAAACACAATTTTTTTAAAGAGTTTATCTGAGTAAACAGTTGTTCCTGGATCAGGTGGAAATGAATAAGTGAGCCACAGTGGGAAACAAAGGTAACATTTTTACAGGATGAACAATGAAGTAAAACAAAGAAACATTTGCTTAGATATTGGACATGGTGGCACACGCTTGTAACCCCAGCACACTGGAGCTGGACACAAAAGGGTCAGGAGTTCAAGATCTCCCTCTGCTACAAACAGATCTGAAGACCCTGTGAAAGGAAGAAACGTGTGGAGAGAGAGGGGAGGCAGGACAGGAAGAAAGGAAACAGAGAGGCAGGGACAAGAGAAAGAAGGCAAGGAGGAAGGAAGAGAGGGAAGGGGGATCAAGCAAAAGAAAATATTTGATGACTACCGTTATCATACTTGGTCTATTCCAGTGAAAAGTCTATAGCTACATATATCTGTCGGCTGCTCCTAACTGGCTGAGATTACATTCTGTTTTTATATAATAGACATTTACACTTCCACTTTGGTTTGCACATGGAGCAGAGTTAGGTTCACCTGTGAAGTGTGACTGACTTGTCTGCTCTGGGTTCTCCTACCTTCAGCTTTAACTGTTGCATAAACAAACAAAAGAGGGCAATGTTGCTCCATATAGTCTCTTTCAGACTCGACTTTTAGACCATGCACATTTTTAAGGAAAATGGGGGAGCAAAGATCAAAGCAGAATCTGTCTTTCAGTATCTTCATAGCTGCCCTTGGTAGAGACACTGAATCTCTTCTTGAATTCCTGGAGGTGCAGTCAGAGCGAGGGAGACAGACCTAATTAGCAATAGACTTAGGAAAACTTGACTTTCTAAAATTTCAACTGGCTCATCTGTTAAACAGAGGCATTATCTCCCTTGAAGGCACTTGTGAAGGAGTACTGGCATGGGGCTATGTAATGAAACTAAAATTTGGGCATGGGCTTTTCTCTCTTACCCCGTTTATCCCACATTGGGAAGTCTTGCTTGTCGTGGATAGCAATAAGCCAGGGTCTCACTGTGTAGGTCTCTGACCTGGAACTCACTATGTAGGCCAGGCTGGCCTCAGACTCACCAAGATTTCCAGGCTCTGTCTGTTGAGAGCAAGGCCTGAATCACCAAGCCTGCCAGCATTAAATTTTTTTTTGTCTCATCCTTCCGAACCTTCTTGGAGTTTACCCTCAGGCTAACCACAGCTCAGTGGAGCGCTTCCTGCTGCTGGGTTTCACAGACTGGCCCTCGCTGGAACCTGTCCTCTTCGCGCTGGTCCTACTCTGCTACCTACTGACGCTGACCGGCAACGCAGCGTTGGTGCTGCTGGCCATTCGCGACCCGCGTCTGCACACACCCATGTACTACTTCCTTTGCCACTTGGCCTTGGTGGATGTGGGCTTCACCACCAGTGTGGTGCCGCCGCTGTTGGTCAGCCTGTGCGGCCCGGTGCTGCAGCTACCGCGCGGCGGGTGCATGGCGCAGCTGTGTGCATCTCTAGCCCTGGGCTCCGCCGAGTGCGTGCTGCTGGCCGTTATGGCGCTGGATCGCGCTGCTGCCGTATGCCGCCCGCTGCGCTACACCGCCCTCGCCTCACCGCGCTTGTGCCGCGCACTGGCCAGCGCCTCCTGGCTTGGTGGCCTGGCCAACTCCGCAGCGCAGACTGCCCTGCTGGCCGCGCGCCCGCTCTGTGCGGCCCGCCGTCTGGACCACTTCATCTGCGAACTGCCCGCCCTGCTGCAGCTAGCCTGCCGTGGCGGCCGCAGCGCCACCGAGCGCCAGATGTTCGCCGCGCGGGTGGTCATCCTGTTGGTGCCTTCTGCGGTCATCCTGGCCTCCTACACCGCCGTGGGCCGCGCGGTCTGGGGTATGCGCTCCCGCGCGGGCCGGCGGAAAGCAGCGAGCACATGTGGCTCTCACTTGACCGCCGTCTGCCTATTCTACGGCTCCGCCACCTACACCTACCTGCAACCTACACATAGTTACAACCAGGGCCGCGGCAAGTTCGTCTCGCTCTTCTATACGGTAGTCACACCCGCGCTAAATCCCCTCATCTACACACTGCGCAACAAAGAAGTCAAGGGGGCCGCGCTGAGGTTCTTGGGAAGTCTGGGGAGGCTGCAGGTCCGGCACTGAGAGGACTAAGAAAGGCGGCAGGGTCCCGGAACTAGGATGCCCATATTGTTTGCCTTTGCATGAGAATCTGCAAATTTTGTCCTCGAGGAGTCTAGGGTTAGTAAGAGATCTCTTTCTCTTACCGGCTAAGGGTTGGATTCTTGAGGGGAAATCCCTGAAATACATAAACACACATACATAGTGATGGGGTAAATGGATCCTAAGCCTTTCTACAGAAGCGAAGCATGATGAAGGAAGGGGCCATCCTCAGCCTCGAGAGACTTTGTAACCACCCCGGAAGAATTCACATGGAGATAAGATGATGAACACCCTGGTGCTGACCTTCAGTTTTCCTCAGGCTTACAAAAGACCATGAGAAATCCCATGGCCTCAGCCATCAGGTGGAGTCCCTCGAGTTAACAAGAAGGCCAGGTGATATACCTTACATAGAGAGCTTCCAGAAACAGGATGTGCTTCCCCTTCTTGGGGAGCCAACCCAGCTAATACAGAGCTAGTCAGGTAACCAGTGTCCACCACAGAACATTCGATACTTAAAACTATAAGGAAAATCTGCAAGTAAAAGGCAATTGTGCCAGACCTGGCTAAGCTGGGAATCCCATCTGCAGGATATGGCTTGTGAACTAGTTTTAAAAGAGAAGGGACTAGAATTGGTGACAGTAAAGGCAGTCATGGTTAGGCTGTGAGAAAAACCTCCATGTGACCAGGAGAGAGACAGAGGAGCAAATAGATGGAAGATAGAGAAAGTTATCCTATGGCAAAGGAAGCTCTATCAGTCAGAAGAAACCAGAAGTTAACCCCTTCCCTTTCTTACTCGGAGATGAACATTTTGTTAGGTGTTAGGTGGAGGAGGTACTAGATTTTATTCCATACCAATTATTTTTAAATAAGAAGTGGGGGTGATGATTGAATGAATTTCCAAATCATTTATTAGTCTGTGATGCTGTTGGGGCTTTAAAAAAATCATAACACATTACTTCTCTAATCTCTATAAGTAGAACTCAATTTGGTTCAACAATTATTCATTGATCCACCTGTCCCTGTCTCCCAAGTCCTGAAATTAAAAGCGTGAATCACCACACCCAACTAACCTTTCAGTTTCTTCATTTGGCAGCAATCCTGCCACACGATGAACTATGTCAGAAACAAGTAATCACAGGCTTGACAAATAGTTTTAATCCACCCCACTCATCTCCAATCTTTATTTCATTCTCATTAGCTTTTGGAAATCATCAAAGGATGTGACTGGTAAGAGCTAAAGGGGAGTGGGCTTGGAGTCACCCCCCAATGCAGTGTCCTGTCAGAAAGAGCAAACTGCCCCTCCTGATGTTGTAGTCAGCCATGATCTTGCCATCTTCCAGCCTCTTTCCATTGCAAGTCACAATCTGAGTCTTGGGACTCACGGCGGTCACACTCTCAATCATCTCTTTCACCTGGGACACTGAACTGGATCTTCGAACTTGGAGAAGGTGCCTTTGCCCCTCATTGCTTGACTCCACCAGAAACAAGGGCAGCTCTTCATCGCTGGGTTTCACCACCTTTAGGGTGAGATGGATGGTTGTTTCCTTGTCAACGCCGTAAGATGACAGTTTTCTCTGGGGCTTGAGGATCTTGGAGCCTAGCAGAAGGACCTGGTCCTGCACAGAAACCTTGGTTTTGGATCGGATATGTTCGTTTATCTTCTTCACTTTGTCACTCTCCATGGTGTCAAAGGTCATTGATGGCCATTGCTCAGAATGGACAATCTAAGCAAAGAAACCCGAGAGAGTCAGCCAGAATGCTTGCTACCTTTCCACACCTACTCCTCAACTCCATTGTTCTGTCTGCTTGGCCCTCCAGCTCCTACCCAACAATCTGCAGCTCCCCCTCTCTTGAAACTTTTGTTTAATTCCCATATTAAGACACAAATTAGAACATTAGTCTCATTCCTCTTGAGATATGTATCCAATATCTCTCTAATGTAACTATCAATTGCCTACCTTGTTAACTTGCCTTTCCTAAGCCAGATATTAAAAGTAAAGACACTACAGAACTTCAAAGGATGTGCACAGGTTCCTAAACAACTCCAAAGCAGATTTTCAAGATTTGGCAACCTCATAGGATACTCTCAGCCATGCTTTACCCTCTGTGACTAATTCAGAACAAACCCTGATTAAGTCATAATCTCCACCTGTTATGCTCTTATTAATGTCCCTGTTAATTTCTGATAATGCCCATGTTGTGGTGATGCTGTGTTTAATGTTGTTAATCTGTGATTTTGGGGTTTTTTTTTTTACTATTGTGATAGAGCATGATATCCTCTTTGAATTAGACCAGAATCCCAATCGCAGAAGATAGGAAGTATAGCTAAGTTTAATTTCACTGACTGAGAATTCTGGAAGATGGGGAAAATCAGGTCTGAAAACCTCCTCATACTCCATTCAGGATCATTTTCCCAAACTGGATATTTCAGACGCTTCTTCAGTGAAGGTTTCATCCTTGTTGGGTGCTGCCCTGGTTACAGGTTCTCTTCATGAGGACATATTTTTGTTTAAAGTAATGTGTTTGATCACTGATAACTTAAAACAAATGAGATTTGTGAATTTTTTATTTGAAAAGAGACAGAAGCTTGAGGTTGAGAACTCTAAATTATTTCCCTAAATTCACATCTTGCCAGCCTTGTTGAAGCACAATACCCTACCATTTCTCTCAAGTTTGGCTGGCAAAATAGCTTATCTGGGAAAGGCCCTTGCCACGGAGCCTCACCACCTGAGTTTGGCCCCTATGACCCAAGTGGGAGAGGGACAGAACTGACTATGACAGATTACCTTCTGACCCTGGCCCTGCGTATACATGCACTCATATAATAAATACATATATACAATATTATAAATGTTTAACAAGCCAAATCACCAACCTCTCTCTAGAGTACCTCCTTCTGTTGGGCAATCATCAATGTTGGCCTTGTCTCCTAAATGGTGCCCACCCAACCCCCTCACCTTCCAGGCACTGACCCCTCCTGCACTGTGGAACTATATTCCCAATGCATGGAAATACTTTCCCTTCCCATTCTTTTACCAGACCCCAACTTACGCAGATGCAGGAAGCCATGTCTGCTGTCACAGGCGGAATAAGAAAATAGTCCTCGGGTCTGCTTATATGTGAGAAGCTGGGTTGGAAATCCCCAAAACTGCTGCGTTGTCCAGTTCAGCAACAACCTTTGTTCTCAAGAATTTCCTTTCACTTTCACTGGGGTGGAGTTACTAATGAACACTCTTTGTACACAGACTTCTCCCTTTAACCTTTCCATCTGTACTCCAGAATCTGAATATAAAATAACTCCTCTATAATAAGGGCTCCTAACCCTGCCTTGTTACTGCCCAGCCACTAACCTAGACCTTCACAGGCTTGATAATTCACGATGTCTGGTAGCCCTCTCTCGTGTGTTTAAGAGTACCAGGCCTCTCTAAGAACAAGGATACCCAGAGGGGACAGGTAGGATTGGTGCTGACTGACCAGGCTGTCAGGAGCCTTTTCCCACTAAAGGGGAAGACTGTATGCAACCTACATGCATGAGATACAGGAGAAAATAAGCCTGGATTGCAGTCATGACTTGGTGTGCTGGGGTACCATTGCTACATACATTATTGTATGGAAATATGCTACCCTCTTTTGACATAGGTCGATAAAATTAGATAAGTGTAGGTCATTCCTAATGTCTCCCTACCTCAAAAATAAATAAATAAATAAATAAATAAATAAATAAATAAATAAATAAACCTTGCTTATAAAATTTTAAACACGCGCACACTCTTTGGGTTCTTGGTTCTTAAACCTCTAATACATTGTCAACCCTGACTCAGGACCTGCAAATCAAACATTCTATTTGAGAACAATCCAAAACCCATAGTTAAATTCTGACTCCCATCTTTTTCCATACGCACACCCACCACAGTTCCGGGGTTCTCCCTCCATGATTCTTGGATACCTCCCTCCTCCTTGAGCTCAGAGATGCCCTCACTCTCGAGATTTGGTTGAATGAGACTTGGTTGGGACTGAGCTGTGTGTCCTCAGGAAACTTACTCAATCACTCTGAATGTTCCAAGTTTGTCACTGAATTCTCAGGACATTCCACAGAATAAATTTTCAAAATTGTTTATTAAAAGTGCTTTTTTCGAAGAATTCTGTAAAATTTCAAAGTTATTCCCTTTGTTTTCTGTGTTTGCCGAGGCTATGTACTATACCTTCACCCACTGAAATTTCTTTCTTTTTTCCTTTTTGATCATAAGAGAAACCTTCCCTCAGTTCCTCCCAAATCATCCTCCTCATCTCTCTACCCATCCAATTTTATGTTCTTTCTCTATCTGTGTGTCTCTCAAAAAATATACCCACATACATAACACACATACACACACACAAAAAAAAACCACAAAAACAAGAGTCAAAGCAAATAAGCAAAAGACCAATGGGACAGAATATGCCAAAATAAAGCAAAATGAAACAAAAAGTCCACAAAAATACCAATGAATTAGTTTTGTGTGTACAAACTACTTCTGAGTATAGGGCCTGCCTGCGCTAAAGTATGGTTAATTTGCCCCATGAGACTCCATTGGAGAAAACTGATTTTTCTCTTTGTTTGGGCAGTATCAATTGCATATGGCTTCTTTCTTAGGAGTAGAATCATTCCCCTTCTCCTACTGAAAGATCTTAAACTATTTCATTTTATTCTAGAAGTTTCCATTCTGAATAACTTGGATTTATAGAGTACCTGTGTATAGTAAGGCAATCCAAAAGCTGACTCAAATATTTTGAAATCCTAATGAAAATTATACTGAAGCTCTTATTAGGTCCAGGAGACCCTACTCCTTCTGTCCAGTTCCGGGTTATCCTCCCATTCTTGCTTCTACAGTCCTTTGAAGCCTATTCATCTAGCAGTAGAATCATCTGCTGGCCTAACATCCCCAGTGAGCTCATGAAGACCATGATTGTGTTTCAGTTCACTTGTATGCCCTGCTTATCTTGCACAGAAAGATGCTTAATAAATATGTAGTGTGTAAATAAATTAGTAAACTAATAACAAAAGTAATATTTAGTGAGAATTTATGTTTCAGAAACTTGAAAAGAGTATTAAACATGATCTCATTTGTTGCTTCCATATTGTGGTGATGTATTGGTATCTTTAGGGATAAATAACACCAACCCACTAAAGTTATTCAAGTACTAGCTAGTTAGTAAGATTCCAGTGCTCATCTTTGATACTGTAGTCCTTGGCCTCCAGTCATATTATTGTTGCCTCCAAAGGAAGGAAAAAGCAGAGAAAACACCCATTGCATTGGGGGTTTCCAGACTGTGAAAGCAAATCTGGGAGACTTCTAGAGGAAGCTACCCTGGGAGTTTCCCACCAGAGAGGACTGAGATTCTGAGAAACAGTGCCTTTTCAAATAATACAAACAATAAATCTGGACTCTGATCCCTTCTCTTTTTCTTCTTGTCCCCCTCCGGCTTCACCACTTCCTTCTCATTATCAGATTTCATGGATAAGAACACAAGACCAAAAAGACCGCATGAAGAAGTATTTATAGATCTCAAACCATGAAAAACTATAATACTTAAAACAGAGAAAGAGACAAAATGTTCTGAAAGTCAGGCTGTATCCACCTAACAGAAGTGAAGCTGAATCTAAAGGCTATGAATTACTTGAAGACATTAAAGAGGAAATAAAAGCCTCCAAGTCATGCTGACATTTCCTCATCTTATTCTACTCAGAGTTAAGTTATTGTCATTAACTAACTTATTGTTTTTAAAGCAGTCTATTGCTTAAGAAATATAGTGAAGTCGGGTGGTGGTAGCTCACACCTTTAATTCCAGTGCTCAGGAGGCAGAGGCAGGTAGATCTCTGTGAGTCTGAGACCAGCTTAGTCTACAGAGAGTTCTAGAAGAGACTCCAAAGCTATAGAGAAACCCTGTCTCAAAAAATATAATGTATAGTTAATTTTATTATAGGTAATATTATGATTTAAAACAAGTATTCTCAAGTGAGATTATCACAGACTAATTAGATAACATAACATTTTGGGGCACATAGCTATGTAAACATGCAACACAAGGAAAAGTAAAACTGTCCATTCCATTGGCACATGTTGACTCTTTTTGGCCCCTAGACTTATGGGTACAAGCTAGAAGATATGCAGAGGCTGTGTGCAACTCAGTGATAGAGCTCTTGTTTAACATGCACATATACAGAACTGATCCCCTCCATGGACAAACAAGAAAACAAAAAGTTACAGTGAGAATTAGGTGGATTCTCTTCTGGTGCGGGAGAATTGTCTGTATTCTGTCAATCATGTTTTAAATAAACGCTGATTGGCCAGGCAGGAGGTATAGGCGGGAAAACCAGACAGGAAGTGGAAATGATGCAAAGAGAGCAGGAGAATTCTGGGGAGAAGGAAGTTGATTCCTCCCACTCCTGCCCAGATCACAGAAGCAGCAGGATGTGAGCTGCCCCACTGAAAAAGGTACTGAGCCACATGGCTAACATAAATCAGAAAAATGGGTTAATCAAGATGTGAGAGTTATCCAGTAAGAAGCCTGACCTAACGGGCCAATCAGCATTATAACTTACGGAGATCTATGTGTGATTATTTTCTTTGGGGCTAAATAGCTGGGGGGCTGGGCAGGACAGAAAACACAAACAAGCAGTCCCCACCCCATGTTACACTCTTCAGGAATTTTGTTGTTATTTTTTAGTTTTTCTGCTATTTTTCTCCACTTTCATGTATTCCTATAAACAGGCAACCATTCTACCACTACCCAGCCCTAGTATTGCAAATAAATTATTATTACATTGACCATTTAAAAACATAGATAAAAAACACATGAAAAAAAGTAGTTGGGCATGGTGGCACACTTTAATCCCGTTACTTCAGCCAGATTATCCAGTGAAACCTTGTCTTAAAAACTTGAAAATAAATTTAGAGAGAGAGAGTTCAGCAATTAAGAGTGTGTACTGCTCTTGCAGAGAATGATCTTAGGAGCATAGTGAGGAAATACTACACCAAAGCAAGACCAAAACCCAGCTGGGCAAACTCCAAACTCTGCATCTTCAAGTCTGATGTCAAAACAATCTTCAGATCTCCAACTTCTTTCAGCTTTATTGATTACAACACACTTCTCTCTCTTGTGCTGGCTCCACTCCCTGTTGGCAGTTCTCCTTGGCAGACATCCCACAGTTCTGGCATCTCCAACATCTTGAGGGTCTCCAAGGCAACCCGGGCTTCACCTTCACAGCTTCATATAATGGCCTCTCTAGGCTTCCATTTGGGGACATCCCTCACACATAACTGGCCTCAGCAGCTTTCCTTAGTTGCTCCTTGATACCAAAGTCAGATCCACATAGTCAAAACTGCCAAGTTCTGCTGCTTGCTGTGTCTGGAACATGGCCCACTTGTTCAATTACATTTTCACCAGCTTTCTGTTTTCAATGGTTCCCTTTACTGACTAAGCTTGGTTGTTTCTGGAACTTGCTCTTTAGACCAGGCTGACCCCAAACTCAGAGATCTACCAATCTCTGCCTTTCTAGGGCTGGGATTAAAGGCGTGCGCCACCACACCCAGATCTAAGCTTTTCTTTAATTGCTTTCAACAAGTTGGAAATTTAACTGGGTGGGATCTTGCCCTGAGGTCACTACTCTCTTTATTCCATTTCTTAATCTGTTTACCTCCTTGAACATAGGATTTAGCTCCATTCCACTTCCTGATGCTCCTTTTCTCCTCATATTTTACATTTTTAAATTTTTCTTTGCTCAGCTTGCTCCTTTTTATTATATATCTTCATTAAAGTTCACATGAATAAACATACAACAGAGTCTATGCTAGGCTGTTTTGAGATTTTCTTCTGCCAATGGAATTAATCCAAAACTCTTCACTTTAACCTCAAGCAGACTCTTCAGCCAAGAGCAAAAAGCAGCCACACTCTTCACCAAAATATTACAAGAATGATCTCTAGGCAGCATTCTAAAATTCTCCACTGAAACTTCTTGAGCAAGACACTTACAGTTCAACAAATCACACTCAGCACCATGGTCTCCCATCCTCCCACTAGTATAGCCCATTAAGTAGCACTTAAAGCATTCACCTGTTTTTCTAACCCACAGTCCTAAGGTCTATATTTTTTCAACCAAAAGCATTGTCAGACCTCTCACAGAAATATCCTAGTCCCTGGCAC